AATGCATTTCTTAGTACTAATTTTTATTTATAGGGGTTTAGAATAGTGAATATTCCGGTCACTTTTTATTCAAATTTAAGATCTTGATAATGGTAAAACAAAGTTATAATTTTTTTAGGTTTATGGGGGGAAAAGTTCCTCCGTATATTGTGATTTTCATTTGTACACAAATTAGGGAAATGACATTGTTGTCAGAGTTTTTTAAAAAAAAATCTTTGCCTTGGCTGATATGGCTCAGCTGGTTGAGCATCAGGAGTCTCGTGCACTGAAGGGTCACTGGTCTGACTCCCAGTCAGGGCATATACCAGGTTGCAGGTTCCATCCCCATCAAGGTGCATGCGCAGAAGGCAACTGATTGATATTTCTCTCTCACATAGATGTTTCTCTCTCTCTCCCTCTCCCTTCTTCTCTCTAAAATCAATTAAAATATTTTTAAAAACAATTGAGGAAAGATACATCATCAACATTTTTTAAAAAGTCCTTTTAAAAAAAAGCATCCCTTCTTCTCTCTAAAATCAATTAAAAATATTTTTAAAAAACAATTGAGGAAAGATACATCATCAGCATTTTTTAAAAAGTCCTTTTTAAAAAAGAGAGATTGTGTTTGTGTACTATTTTGAGTAGGGATAGATTTTCAGTGGTATTTGAACATTTAATAGAAACACCTGGTTAATAAGAAAGACATGTTGAATATAATAAACTAGTTGCAATCTGTGACTAAAAACATGTTTGAAGTAAAATTGAACCTCTTTTAGACATAAGCAAAGTTATTATTTCCTCCCATAGTACATCTGTTTAGGGCTGGCTGACTAATCCTTTAAGAAGTTGCTGAACTTCCTCCAAGTGCTGAAAACCTAATTCTGTTTTAAAAATAGCTGTGTGTAATTTTATCTTCATATGTGTATTTTAAGTGTTTAACAAAAAGGTAATTATTTTTGTAAACTAATGATTTCTTAGACCCAAAGTCCAACTGAGGCCTTTTGTATGTATATATATGTGTGTGTGTGTGTGTATGTGTATGTGTATGTGTATATATATATAAAGGAGTCCTGGGAAAAATAGTCCATAAGAGTACAAAGTTTGCGGGAAGAGGGGTTGGTTTTCATTTTAATTTTTTTTTAATTTCAATATAGTGTTAATATCTCAGACATGTGAAATAGGAAACTTCCTTTTCTGAACTATAACAATAGTTGTTGATACAGTAGAATCATAGTGGCAGAGTCCTATCCATAGTATCCTATTAGGTAGAGTCCTACCATGAAACTCATTAGCTTGTCTGAGGGATCTTGTACTAATTACTTCACTAAGCCAGCTCACAAAAATGAAATGAATTATGCTGAAAATACATTTCAATGTGAAATGAACATTATAAGTGATCTTACTAGTAAAGCTTCTAATTAATTTTCTATGTTGTTTAAATTCTTTAATTTCTTTGAACCCAAATGTTAAACACAACATTCAGACACAATTTATTGTAAATGCTGATGATAAAAGAAAAAAGAATAGCCCTGGGGAGTGGTTCTCTTGATAGACTTTCTTTTTCTTTGCTGTGGTGGATTTCTTCACTTGGTGCCCGCACTTTCCCATAGCAGAGTAGTTAAGTGCAAGTTTCTCAAGCCAGACTGGCTTCTCCCACCATCGCTAGCTTGGGCAAGTTACTCCTTTGTGCCTTCATTTCTTCGTCTGTGAAATAAATAATATCTGCGTTTCAGGTCTGTGGTGAAGGTTAAGCGAGGAAATAACGTAGAGATCACTTAGAACACAGTCAAGCATACACTAGGCACCCCAAACCAAACATGCTTGCTGTTCTCACACTTCTCCCTTTCCCCTTTCCTCTGTTTCTGACGTCGCTCCCCTCAACCTCCATGCTGCCAACTCATGTGTTTCTCTTTGTGATTAGACAACCAATATCAATACCTTTCCACTTGCTATGGCCTAATCAAATTTTACCCTATTTTAGTCATTTCTTAATATAAGAGTTGCTTTTCCCACATGGTTTTTAAAGAATACTTTCAACTTCTGTGTTTTGATTAGGTTCACAGATTTTTTGAATTTTCTTCCCAGGATAGTTTCCATGAAATGAATTCTATTAGTTATGTTTAAAATGAATGAGAAAAGAATACCTATTTAGTTAATGTGGTGAAACGAAATGATTTGTAATGGTTGAATACCTGTCATCAAGGTATGTCTTCTAGCACTAATTCTGGCTTTGGTAGTGTGTAGGCCAGAACCACTTACCTATAACCATGGCACTTATGGATGACCCTGTTACAGCTATTAATTTAGATTACAATATTGGTGTGTCTTGTATTAGGAGTGTATGCTATGTATCAATGTCAGCAAATATCACTTACAAATTCTTGCTTGTGACCTGTCTCTAAGATGTCTTTAAACACTTCCTTATGCCATTAATAGAAGACATGAGACAAAAGGTGTGACAGGCAGCTTTTTGATCAAGTGAACCTTTTGGTTAAAAAGCAATGGATATGTGAACTTTCTTATTGATATCATATCTTTGCTAGTAAAATTTTTTCCAGTTTACTTTACTGAGCTGATTGTTCTTTTCATGTGAATCTAATGAAGATGTATTTCCTAACTTAATGTATATTCTTGTTTCCTTTCTGTATTATATATAATATATTAAGGTGCTCGTCCTTGCATGAAAGTTTACTTGTAGTTAAAAAAAATAATTTAGTGGAAAGTATAGTGTCTTTCTTTGTTTTACTTGCTTAGTCATGAGTTCTGTGGTTCTGTAGCTCTTAAAACAAGCACCAGCAGTCTCTAAGAAGCAGTATTTTGCTTGTCTTATCATATATTTATATCTTGTATGCTGAGATTTTTTTTGAGAGAGAAATGTTTATATTTCTTGAAATATACATGATTCTTCAGACTGGAATCTAATGAAATAGGACACCCATTTGAAAACCAAAGAGTTAAAGCTACAACAGAGGATAAAAGTGATCAAATGATTAGCCAGAGGCTAATAGAAATTCTGGGAAGAATGACAGATTGTATATTAGAAAGAAATATGATCTCATATTCATTGAAGCTTTTTACAGCTAAAGATCTAAAAGAAATAATAGAAAATTACTGAAAGAGATGAATGTCTGAAACTTTAGAAATCCATGGAGTGTTGGATTAATCCAAGCAAGAAAGACTGATGGGCAGATAATAAATTACATTGTGTAGGAAGTCTGCATTCCTTGTTTTCAAGGTTGTTGTTTTTTTTTTTTCCTGGCAAGATATATTTAAGTAGCTCTAGGCCAGTTTCAGAAAATTCCGTTCATGATTTTTATTATCACACCATATGTGTATGATTCTTTGGAATAGATAAAGTATTATAAACAGAGACTTCAAATCCTTGAGTGGAAAAAATTAAACCTTCCTTCTGTACCAAATTAATAGCAAGTGTTTCCTTATGAGAGTGTAAGCAATATAGAACACCTTTTCTTGTACAATCCCATAAGTAAAGGAGAGTTTGAAGAAATGTACCCTACTGCTGCCTGGAAAAAGCTGTACTTCAACAGCTGTCCTTCTGCCGGAGAAAACAAATAGTCATAAACTGGAAAAGGTGTATATGTACATTTTCATTACAAAGAAGTGGTTACTTACTTAACTGTTCCAAATTTTACTTTGCCATAGGTACATGTTATTTTACTTAAAAAATTGAGTGTATATTTGTGTGTGTAATTATTGCTTTTTCATATAAATTTATACACAAAGTAGTATAGAGTCTTTTTTTTTCTCTCCAGGGTTAAGTGATCACACAGCATTATAATAATTGTTCAGGAGTCCAGCTACTTTTAAATATGTTGATTGAGAAATATATATTCTTCTTCTTAAACTATTTGAACCTTTTAATCAATTTCCCCCCAGATTTTTGCCATGAAGGCCTGGCATTCATTTTTGTTCTTAGTTTTTGTAGGTTTAGGGAGAAAGTGAAGTGTTTCCTGAAATATCTATATTATAAAAGGCCAGGGGCCTTAACGCTGTAATGACCAAACGACCAGTCATCAGGAGGTGCATGGAGCACCTCTCGGGCCCTCCCTCCACGCTGTCCCCCGCATACCCCACCCCCCGGGTGCCAGCAGCGTCGACAGAGCATTGTGGGGCCCTGGCAGTGTCCATGGAGCGTCGCGGGGCACCAGCAGCATCTGCCGAGTCGCGGGGCAGCGGACATGGCCCTGATGGCAGGCTAGGCCTAGGGGACCCTACACATGCACGATTTAATCGTGCACTGGGCCTCTAGTATATAAATAATAAAATTAATGTACACTCTTTATTCTTCATGGACATATTCTTGTTGGCTCTTTTTTCTTCCTTTCTTTTTCTTTCTTTCTTTTTTTTTTTTGGTTAATCCTTACCAGATATTTTTTTTTCCTTTTTTTTTTTTTTATGAGCAAGTGGAAGGGAGGGTGGGAGGAAGAGAAAGAGAGAGAAATGTCAATGTGAGGGAGACACATCGATTGGTTGACTCCCGCACCCACCCAACCAGGGCCGGGAACCTGCAATCCAGGTACATGCCCTTGACCTGGAATCGAACCCATGACCCTTCAGTGCGCGGACTGACACTTCAACCACTGAAGCACACTGGTCAGGGCTCTTTCTCAATATATACTTAACCTATGGGGGAAAGAGATTATTTGTCTGTGAAACTGAAATTTTGACTCCAGATCACCTGGGTTTCTATGTACTTAAGCATTTAAGCTTAATTATTTGCCTTGAACTTGAAATGTAAGCAAAGGATACATAATGAATTTACAATTATTCTTCTCTACAGAGTTATTTATCTGCATTCCCAGTATATAGATCTCTCTCTCTCCATATATATGTGTGTGTGTGTGTGTGTGTGTATGTGTATCTTTGAGGACAGTGCAGTATAAGTTAATCTTCCACATAGCCCTAATAGATACCTGTGTTTCTGGATAAATTCTTCTTTAAGTGATAGAATCTTAAAGATGATAGAATTCTAACAGGAATTCTCTTTGTTCTTTTTGCAGCTATGTCATCTTATCTTTTAATTATTAAGACAGAGCTTCCTGCAGCTATTTCAGAATTTTTGTCTGGAGACTATAGTGGGTAAGAAAAAATACTTCACATGTGTCCACTTATTTACTAGTTCAATAAGTATTTATTAAGCTAGTGGGAAGTAAAACAAATGTAGTCCCTGCCCACAAGACACTTACATATTAGGCAGGGGCAGAGCAGTCATGGAGGAGAAAACACTCAGCAGACGTTTATTGGTGATCCATTATGTATGAAGCACTGAGCCATGAGCCCTTTGAAAGGCCAGGTGTAACCCTTACAGTCTGTGAGGGTGGGATAGGGCAGGACAGGTTTGAGCTAGATCTTAGAGAAGGGTAGAGGAGAAATTTCTGGGGATATGCAAGATTGGGATGGGGGAATGGAGAAAAAGACTAAAAGTACTGATAGTAAAGGCCAACAAAGGATGGAGTGGATAAAACCGCTGTCACTTTTCAGCCAGCTATCATGATAAAGATAAATCATATTGATAAAGTTACAGCCATACGTGAGATTCCTATTATAAAGCATGATTTAAAAAATTATTTTCAAAGGTTGTTTTTTAACAGTGTTATAAACAGTACTAAACCACATCATACCCCCTTTTCTCCTTATTTTAAAAACACTGTGCTGTAAAGATTGTTGACTCATTTCTTTTTATAGGGGAAAAACAAATTAATTATACTTTTCCTTTCACTACATAGAACAAGAAATTTTGAGAAAAATAAACTTAAAAAGACAGAATACATTGTTTTGTTATCAAGTTATTTTACATAATTTATAAACAACAACAACAACAACCTGTCAGACTTTTAGATTTAAGTATTTGGTTGTTTTGCTCTAATATTTGAACTTAATCTGGATTAAAGAGCAAGTTTTCAAAATGTAGTTTTTAGCGTTTACAACTTGGTTTATATGAAAGAATTCTCCTTAGATAACTGTAAATACATATTTATAAGGAAAGTATGTATACTTTATTTTTTCATCAAATTTATTGGGGTGACATTGGTTAATAAAAAGTATGGTATACTTTAGATCTAAATAAGAACTGTCAAGAAAATGTGGTTGGAAAAAGTTCTTAATGATGTTTCATTATCAGAAATATTGTGCCTTAATATAGTACTTTATTAGTTCACAAGGTTTCCTCATTCATTATCACATTTGATGCTCACCAGTACCTTTTTTATCTACAGCTTTACACAGTTACTTTTAATTTTTATGATCTTACTTTGATAAATAATTCCTATAATAAATAGCTATGAGGAAATCACTTTTGTACTTGCAGTAAAAATATTGCAGACAACTTTTATTACTCAAAAAGTTCTATGTGATAAATTTCTTTTATAATACAGGGCTAAGAACTCTAGGCAATATGAGGTAAAATGAAAACTGTTAAACCAAGAGTAAGGAGGTGTGTGTCCTACCCATTTCATATTCAGAAACGTCAGGAAATTAATTTAACTTCTTTTCACCATAAAAGACTTAGGTTTCTTCACCTGCTATAATACTGGCAGTACTATATTGCCTTCTTAAAAAAGTTGTTGGGAAAATTAAATAAAATATTGTACGTATATGTGCTTTTGTAAGTTGATAGCATAGTGTAAATATGCAGAATTAGAAGAAAAGAAATTTCAATAGTGTCTGTATTAAAGATGATTTTTTCTTATTTGTTCTGCTTGCCTGGAAGGTCAGAGTCAAATTTGAATGTTAATCCTGATAGTTGTCATACACGTGTTTTCTTTCTTTTCCTTGGTCCTGAATTGGGTCACTTCTATACACATTTTAAAAAATGTTTTTTATTGATTTGAGAGAGAGAAAGATAAAAACATCAATGACGAGAGAGAATCATTGATCGGCTGCCTTCTGCATGCCCCCTACTGGTAATTGAGCCTGCAACCCGGGCATGTGCCCTGACTGGGAATTGAACTGGGACCTCCTGGTTTATAAGTTGAAGCTCAACCAGCCAGGCATATTCACAAGTTTTTTTGGTGTGTGTGTGAAGCTCAACCAGCCAGGCATATTCACAAGTTTTTTTTTGTGTTGTTTTTTTTAATGTTTTATTGATTTTTTTACAGAGAGGAAGGGAGAGGGATAGAGTTAGAAACATCGATCAGCTGCCTCCTGCACACCCCGCATTGGGGATGTGCCCGCAACCAAGGTACATACCCTTGACCGGAATCAAACCTAGGACCCTTCAGTCCGCAGGCTGACGCTCTATCCACTGAGCAAAACCTGTTAGGGCAATATTCACAGTTTTTTATTGTTATATGTGTTTGTGCAAAGAGGAAGAATAAAAATACATATAAAATTAAGGTAGAATATGACAGAACTGATATTAAAACGTAGGTCTTCTTTCTCTAAAAGTGGTACTTTTACCATAGCTTCAGTTTAAATCAGTTGCCATTTAATTTTTTTTCTGGCTTGTTTAAAAAAATAAAAATTAACTCCCATCTCACTTATATTAATAGAAAATTGATAAAAATGTTACTTTTACATGTCACACATGAACTTTTAAAATTATATACTTCAGCCCTAACTGGTTTGGCTCAGTGGATAGAGCATCGGTCTGCGGACTCAAGGGTCCCAGGTTTGATTCCGGTCAAGGGCATGTACCTTGGTTGCGGGCACATCCCCAGTGGGGAGTGTGCGGGAGGCAGCTGATCAATGTTTCTCTCTCATCGATGTTTCTAGCTCTCTATCCTTCTCCCTTCCTCTCTGTAAAAAATCAATAAAATATATTTTAAAAAATTATATACTTCAAAATACTGTATCCAATTTGCATAATCTCTGTTATGATGTTTTAAAATTGCATATTTAACAGCTTTAATGTTTAAAATCTAATATATATTTGCTTATTTTGTTTTCAAATTTTTGAAAAAATTAATACGACTAATTATATTGGTTAGCATGCAGATAAATCATTAGTCTTTAAAGCTTAAAGCTGTAAAGTAAGAAACAAATGATATGGTAATTTACTTAACTATCTAGGGTAGTTTATTTCTGGATAGAGTTACATAGCACTATTTCTTCTATGAGATCAATATGATATTGATATGCTTTTATTTTAGAGTTTGACTTACAGTGACTTCCAGTTAAGATCTTTTAAGTGAGCTTATTTTCTGGGTTGTCTGTGAGATATGATGTACCTTTGTGAAACATAAACCTTTACAAAGATGTTATTGAAAAGAAACTTTATGTTCATAATATTCCACTTTCAAAAATTACTATTAGAAGTCAGAAGCTATAATACTTATACCAAACTATTATGAGACATCTATATTTTTCATAGAATAGTTTCTATTTTAAAAATCTACGTCTGTTAAAATGTGGAAGCTCTCTGTTAACATTTAATGATCTTGTCAGGGGAATATGATTGACACAATTAAGTTGTCTTGCATTTGAGTTACAAAATTGATATGGGATGTGAGTCAGATCCTAATTCAGAACATATGATACTCTTGTTCCATTCCATTCGAGAATGAAATTAAAGCAACTTATAAATAAATCTGGTTTTCATTAAAATATGGGGGGGAAAAGTCTGCATGCCAAAGCATTTGAAATATAGTTTAGGATTTATACTCTATATTTCATAGTTGGAACATTTTTATCATACAGGATTAAATCCACAGATCAAACAAGTTTTCTAGGAGGTATAAAACTTTTTACTCTAATTCTGTTAGCTTAAAGAGAAAGTATATTTATATATCACAGTAGGAAAACAGGAGTTCTGTTAGATAATTCTTTGTTCTCCCTCTCAGATTTAAGAGTAGGGTAAATCTAAAATCTTGATTTATAAAATATATTTATTTAATGTGTGCTTTTTGAGATTTCTTTTTACTGGTTTGTATTTTATAAGTTTAATCACTTCTGTTCTTTGGAAATATCCCTTGGAAAGAAAATTCAGTTGACTGACATGCATGTGAAATGTAAACTAACTTTACTGAGCATTACTGTATTGCCTTTATTGTCAGCATTATGAATATAACTTAATAAGGGTAAGAAATAATTAATAACCAGCAGCCAAGCAGGGATAGAGAAATTATATTTTGAATACAGTTTTTTTACATTAGGAATTTAAAGTCAATCTGGTAAAGAGGTGAATAAAGGAAGCACAATGTTGAGAAAAATGAAGCAATATCTGGAAAATACAATAAACTCAAAGTGACTCCTCAAGAGTAGGGAGTATTTCCATTACTCTATCCCTAAGATCAGCATCATCCGTTTGCTGATTCTAATGACATATGAGATGAAGTTGTTGAGCCAGGTGATCTGTGAGGTGCTATGACTGATTCTGAGTTACTGCTGGGGGGGGTGAAGTTATCTCAGACCTCAGTTCAGTGCTGTGGGCAGTCATGTGGCTTCTATGATGAGTAAATTGTGATTTGAAATAGTATAACATTATACAGTATAATATAATGGTATAAATTATAAAGTTCAGGATTCCAAAGTGCTCCTTTATTTTTATGCAACAGAACAGAGTCTGGTCCTGAGGATTAAGGTGCTCCCTTCACTGCTCTGCCCTCCTGACAGCAGGGACCGCAGGACTAACTGCGGGATCTGCCTTGGTGCTCCTCTGGCCTCTCCTCCTGGCGCTGCCACTGTCTGGGTCTGATTGAGTCCCAGACGAAGGAGATTTCAGGCCCAGAGCCCTGGGCTCTTCGCCAGCTTAAGAAGTTTAGTTGCCAGGTGTTCTTCAGTGAGGGATATTTTGAAGTTTCCACTCTGATACTACCTATTTAAGAGTGGCGAGCAGATGAACGTGCCAAGTATCATTTGTATTGTTAATATGTGTCCTCTCTTAGGACCTCCTGCATACCAGGAATTGAGGGGCATGTGAATGAAAATGCAGAGAGCACAGCTTCAAGTCCATTAGACCTACAAATACGTGTACATAGGCTTTAGTTTCTGGCACTTGCATTTTCTAAAGACATGAATTAGGGTGGAGAAGGGAAAGTTATGTTCACAGTGCTATTTATTTATTTTTTTATTTATTTCAGAGAGGCAGGGAAAGATAGAAACATCAATGATGAGAGGGAATCATCGATTGGCTACTTCCT